TTTGTTTAGTGAGGGGGTCACTATTTGCCGATAGTTGGTACCCTAACAGGAGCTACCCCACCCCACCCCAGGGTGGAGCTAAGAACAACAAGAATTAAGAGGTGGTTAGACGCTCCTCAAAACCTCCAATCTCCCGATCAGAGGCCTTGCTGCCGGATGTAGTTTATTGTCATACACAGGACTAGCTATATTTCGTACTTCATAACTAAGAACTACTAGCGAAATTTATGGTATAATAATAATACCTTAGACATCAAAGTCTTTTTTAACAATGTATGACGTTATAAAAAAAATATTTATTATTAATTCTAAAATCTAGTTTCTTTTTAGAATCTATCTTCTTTCACAAGCTCGTGTACGATCCTGTTCAATGTCACTTAGTTCATCCCCCTTTCTTCAAATCCAAATCAAATAGGGATTGGAATCCGACAGAATAATAAAATAAAAAAAACAAATAGGAAATGTTTATCACTCTAACATGTTTCACTTTTATTAAGGCTTCAACAGAGAATGAGATATGAAGAAAAAGAAGAAAGAAATTCTACGTCTACTTTTCATGTTGCTTAATTTTCATTGGTGAAACATGTTTCGCGGTCATTCGACTTGTTAAACAAACGTTAGTATAACTTGTGGCGTTCCGAATTCAAGGAGAGACAACTCGTCCATTCGAAGTTCAAAGAAATTAATGGATTTCAAGCCTAACTGAAAAACCGTAAATATTGCTTTATGTATGTAAGTGTATAATAATTCTAATTTGTCTATGTAGGATTCAGATGATAATGTATATTCGCGTGTGTATGTGTGTAGTAGTAACGTTTATTGGTTTTTCGCATGTTGATTTGGAAACGTTTTACGTACATACCATTTGTTTTAGATAAACATAAGTTAGATTCTTTACAAATGGATTCAATAAAGGTTGGTGTAATATAATGTTTTTGACGTGTGTTTATAGCTGGTAAATATTGTTATTAGAAATCCACCGATTATTAGTAATCCATGCTGATGACACAACTATTTACTCCTGTCTTAATAATAAGTCCAATAAGTTCGACAAAGTAAAACTGGCAACTGCTCTCGAAAATTACCTACAGTCAGTTGTTAACTAGGACAAGGAAGGGCTTGTTAATTTCAACGCTTCCAAAACGAGACTTATATTTTAATCGTCACAGAGGACCATTTTTGCCCTCCATCAGCATGGATGATGCTAGCCTCCAGGAGAGCAACTAAGTCTCACGTTTTTCACTAAAATGTAGTGGTGTGATAAAATTGAATCAATTGCTATATCTGCTGCTAACAAAGTTGGTTCACTGTGTTGTGCCAGATAATTTTTCTCGTCAGAATCCATTCGTCTGTGCATTACTGTGGTGCTCCTGTTATATATCGCGAGATTCTCGACAAAATCCAAAGAAGGTTCTGTAATGTTATTGGTCCTGACCTGGCATCTCGACTTCAGTCACTTTCGCGCCGCCTGATGTGCCTTCCTTTTATCTTTTCTATAAATATTTTCATGGCAATTTTTCTCCTCCTTGGCACGTTGGCCACGTGAATTTAAGAATACTACTAGATTGGCAACTAGGTCTCATTGTTTTATAATATTATTGAAATAATTAAGTTCTCTGCACTACTCGCCTGTGGAACTCTCTTCTGGTTTCTTGTTACCTACGATCATCAAAAATTTAAATACAATCGCCATTTTTTGTCTTCCTGAAACTCGTTCTTTTATTGCCCTGCCTCCTCACTAAAGTCTTTTCATTCTTTTTCACTCCCACTAGCTCCTAGTGTCAGTGGCATTATCGCCTTACTTCGGGTGAAATGATTAAAAAAGAAAACAAATTAAGATATTTGTTACATTAGCCACTGTCAAGAAGAGCTTTTTCCAATGCGATTCAACATTTCTCTCTCTCCCCCACTCTCTCTCTATTTCTCTCTCTTACACACATATACACATACACACTGTCTCTGTCTCTTCCCTCCCTCTCTCCGAAAAAATATATCACCAACTTGAAGCTCGAACCTGAGATTTGTTTGTCTGTTGTGTTCACTGAGTGATATTCTTATTACTTAAACATTATTAATACTGGATACTCATATTTGAGTAGACGTTCCGCTTATTTATTAAGCAATATATTTATTTATTTACGCCTACCGGCCTGAATATTCGAGAAATCTTATTAGAGAAAAATATGCGCTACCCTGCAGGATTCGAACCTGCGTTCCCCTAGGGGAAACCGTCATTAGATCTGGCGTGTTTTAACCTCTTAACTATAGAGTGCATTGATGACCAAGTAAAGTTGGCAAAAGACGAAAATAAATAAATATACTGTTTAATGAATAAACGAAGCGTCTACTCAAATATGAGTATCCACTAAAAATAACGTTTAAGCAATAAAAATCTGGGGGATTAGTAAATAAAAATCCACTCCTTTTCCTTATATTGAGTTATATATAGGTGTATGTGTGTGTGTGTGTGCGTGTGATTTTCAAAGCCATTATTCGTAACTTTGTATAAAACTAGATTAAATATTTCATCGTACTCCGTATCACTTGACTTAGTTTTTTTTTTTTAATAAACTTTAGTTTAAATGACGCAAGACCACAAAGTGGAAAATCAAACTCAATAGAGTTTCTTTTATATATATATATATATATATATATATATATATATATATATATATATATATATATATGTGTGTGTGTGTGTGTGCGTGTGTGTGTGTGTGTGTGTGTGTGCATAGCAAATAGTGCTACAAATTCTATTAGACGAGGTTGCTGTTGGTCACCAGCCGGTAGGATACGAAGTTACGGCTGAGTTGGAAAACTTTCAATGATATTTTTTTTTTTTTTTATAGTAAGGGTCACCCTGTACAAGGGCCTAGGGGCACTCGAGTTAGAGGGTTACGTTAAGGAGCAGTTTATACGGATAGGAGGGGAAGATAACGGTTTACTCTAGACTTGAACAAGTTAAGATTGTAGTAATCGGGAAACATCCTCTTGGGTGTCTATTCCATAGAGCAGTAGTTTGCAAGAAGAAGCTGCTCGAGGGGAACTTATCGATAGAATACATAGGGAATGTGGGTAGTTTGCTAAAATATAAGTGACATGGTGGATCCTAGCCGTGAGGTTCGAGCACTTTCCATGGAAAAAGAACAGCGAGAGACTCGCAACACATCGCCTGTGAAAGAGAAGTTTACAGGGTAGAAAATAATTCGTCAACGACAAGAATTCGGAATGCTTTAGAACGCTATCGAGACTGGAAAGTAAATGAATTCAAAGTTTTCAAAAGGAAACAAATTCAACACATGGTGTAGCTTTACGTATGATATAATAACAATAATAATAATAATAACTAACAAAATACGTGAAAATTACAAGAATTAACTTCGGCCAAAATGCGCTCAACAGATAACTAGAGCTATAATATTTAACAAATCAACAAAAGTTCAATTGATTTACCTGATTGACCGACTCAAGAGTTTCGCTTCGAAATGCTCATTAGGACCAGATATTCGATAAATCGATAACTCGAATATCTGACCCTGATGAGCGCTTCGACACGAAACACACGCGTCGGTCAATTGAACTTTTGTTGATTTATTAAATACATATTTATATAAAGAACAAAATAGTTCACAAAAGAATTATATTTGCTTGAGTACACCTAGCTCAAAAAAGAAAAGAAAATATTTATATACTTATCTCTAGTGTGTGCGTGTATAATTGTGTGACGCGCACCACGTGATTGGTTGAAATTCAGGTAGTCGGCTTTCGCATGACTAAGTCTTTCCCTCTGGTGGAGACTGGACACATCTGCTATCTACTGCATTCTGTTTCTGAGTGAAGAAAAAAAGTAGGGAGTGAGTCCTTTTAATATCCTGATTAGAATGCCTCTTAGCGGGTGTGCTGGTGGACAAGATGGGGTAAACAGATAGATAGATAGATAGATAGATAGATAGATAGATAGATAGATAGATAGATAGATAGATAGAATCTTTATAACTTTCCTCCAACATCACCTGAAAATCTTCGTGTAATGTGTGACAAAATCTGTAACTCTAGTCCAGGTTTGAAAAGAAACATGAAAGTCCATGAGGATGACGTTACACAATTTGATCCAATAAATCCTGTCAAGGTGACTTCCTTTGAATGTCACACATGCTTCAAACCGTGCCAATCCTCTGCTGGCCTAAAGAGCAATCTTAGAGTCCGTCCTTATTCGTTTATGAGCAGAAAACTAATTCAACGATGAGACGACAGTCATATGTAAAGATGCTGCAATCACAGACACACACACGTGTGTGTGCGTGTGTGTGCGTGTGTGTGTGTCACTTGACCCCTTTGTATGCTTTTAAGCATGAAAATAACATATCCTAAAAAAGTATTTTTCTGAAACTAAAATACTAAATCATAGTATTAGACTTTTAAAAAAAAATTATCCCTCATCAACATAAACGATTTTACAAGCACATTAATAGTGGACATAGAATGGAAAAAATAAGTTGGGTTTACTACACACGGTAGCTTTGAGGTTCGGTCTTGGACCCGTTGGTTTTAGAAATAATGCTAACCAAAGTGTACATTCGCCATAGTAGTTGTGAAAATAGTAAACAACATGGAAAGAGAAAGAGTTGACATTTTTAATGTGATTTTATAAAGTACTCTATAGTTTCCGTGTTTATTTTGTCAGCTTTTCCTGTTATTGAAGAAAAGAAAAGGCGCGAAGCGAATTCAGGAGAAACTAATCACCGATTTAAACACTGGATAAAAAGAAACCTTTGACAAGAGATGCGCTAAGACAAAGGCAAGGAACTAATGGTGAGGGAAGTGACAATACATATTTAGGAGAAGTTTTAAGTAAGACGATAACGGAAAAAAACAAAGCTGGTGGGAGAAGGAGACCTGAAAGACGACAATCGCACACAAAGAAAGCAGGACAGAGAAAGACAATTACACAACATGGAGGGAGGTATGGTTCCCGTTGGGGAGAGGTAGGAGAAGCGCTCTTAAAGAAAGTGGAAGGAACTCACGAAAGAGGAGAAGAAGGGGTGTAAGTTTGAGGTATAATAAAAAGACGCAGTGGTGGTTGTAGGAAGAGGAGGGGTGATGATATAATACTGGTAAAGGGAAAGGGTAGGAACATGCAAGTAGAAAGGAGAGTAACATAAAGAGAGATTTTTTTTAGCGTGAAAGAAATAATAATTAGGAATGAATAGTTGAAAAAGAAAGAAAAACTGTAAAAGAAAGAAAGAGAAAACGCGTAAAAGAAAGAAGGAGCAAACGCGTAAAAGAAAGAAAGGAGAGGTGGAAGAAATATTGAAAGACATATTGAAAAAAGAAAGAATGAATGAAAAGATCGGAAAGAAAATAGACCAAGAAAAGAAGGAAGACTGAGAGAGAGAAAGAAAGAAAGATCGATAAAGGAAGATAGAAAAAGAATAACAAACTGAGAAAGAAAGAATGATATAGGAAGATAGAAAAAGAATTAAAAAAAAACTGAGGAAGAAAGGTAAAGGAATATAGAAAAAGAATAAAAATCTGAGAAAAAAGAGAAAGACTAAAAATCTAAGAAAGAAAGAAAGATAAAGGACGATAGAAAAAGAATAAAAAACCGAGAAAGAAAGAAAGATAAAGGAAGACAGAGATAGAATAAAAAAAATGAGAAAGAAAGAAAGACTTGTGGGAAAACTTATGGTAGAAAGGAAAGGGAATTATAAAAAATATGAAAAGAAATAAAGAAGTAAAAGAAAAGGTATAAGAGTTGAAAGAAACTAAAGAGAGCAATAGATAGCATCGGTAGGATGGTGTCGAATTCCGGAAATTAAAAATAAGTGCAAATAAAAATTGAATAAATAAATTAGTATCAGGATGACTTGTAATGTTGGTGGCGAAAGCGGGGATTGTTTGCACAAATAAAAGATCGACGAATTAGGGATAGTAACTAGAAAAGAGAAACAAGTGGAAGTGAGAAAGAAAAAACAGAGATAAGAGGAGATGCGTTTTGAAAAAGATATAGCAAGTGCTCAACACATGGCTTTACAGAATGAGAAAGAAGGAAAGATAGGTAAATGATAACAACAGAGGAGTAAGCAACAGTTTCAGAGAGAGAGAGAGAGAGAGAGAGAGAGAGAGAAACATATGGGGTAGTGAAGGTTGAACACCTTTGTGTAAAACTCTTGTAAATGACGAAAAGCGTTAAGTCCTCGTGTTACTAGCAGTAGTAGTATACTTTCAACTAGTTCACAATTAATCGTACTTCTACGCTTTCAAGTAGTAAAATTACTATTACCACTGATGATAACAGTTTTTTTTTTTACTAAACTTGGTTCTCACATATACAAGTACTTTAATTATTACTGTGTGTGTGAAAAAGGAAGCATTTTTCTACCTCTGTTCTGTCAAACTTTCCACCTCTGGTACTTAAAAATTTCAAATCCTGTAAAGCTTTGCTCTAATTAAAAGAAAAAAAGTCGAGAAAAAATACTTATTACTTCAACAATGTTCATATACTTGTAAAATCCTTGATAAATAAGATATTTTGCAATATATTTTTCGTTCACTAATGTGGATTGGCCAATGTGACATTAGTTAATTAAGTAGTCCATCTTTTTTTTCAATTAATGATCTAGCGAGCATAAATTTTATTTCCAATTTCTATTTCATATGAGAAAACGATCAGTAAAAATGTTCTGCATTTTATTTACTAATTTATTTTATTGTTTATTTGACCCTTATTTTATACACGTTTCGTTGAATATGATGGACAAGGAATATTTTAGAATATTTTTGTTTTATATTTCCTCGTGTTTTTATCATTTTTCTTTTATGAGGACTAAAAGTGGGTAAAACATTCGTAGTAACACACATATATATAAATATATATATATATATATATATATATATATATATACATATAATTGGAAAAATACACAAAAAAATTTAAATAGATAGACCTTGTCGGTTCTTTTTAAACAAACTTGTTTCGATGAATACTTGTTGCCTAAATATACCTTATTCCTATATATTAAAAAGAACCGACAAGGTCTATCCATTTAAATTTTTATTGTATTTTTCCAATTTTCGGATAAGGTGTTGGTATTGTGCTCGAAGATGTGGAGAAATTGTGCGAAGTTCGTATTATAGTATTTTCGACTTTCACAGTCATTGTCAAGAACTTATGTGATGTCCTTGTTGTGTAGTTATATAAAGTATCGAACAGTGAGTGCTCGTGGTAATAAAACATTGCTCAATGTATAATAACAGATAAAATTTGTGCATACTCACGAATTATGCACAAGAATAAAGTAAATTTAATTGATAAATATGCAATTTATTTTGCTTCTTTTGCGCATGCGTAGTAAATTTACTGAACTGCAAATTAGTGATTTTCACAACGAATGCAAACCAAAAACATTTCTTAAACCTACACAAACATTTCTTATCCGATCCTTGCATACAAACCCCTTAAAAGAAACAAAGAATCTTTCTCTCTCTCTCTCTCTGCAGGTGTATGTGAAAATGGGGATGCTAGTATAGGTGGATGGGTGCATGTCTATATACATGTGTATGTCAAAACAAAGCAAAAGCAAATGAGGGTTATCCTGTAGAAAACACTTGCTAGCAATCCAATCAAAACCGTTCAACAAACAAGGAAAAACCTGAGAGCAATTTGTAAAACTGACATTTGTCACACATCATAATCGTACTTAGTGAAGGAGAGCCAATTCGAAATTTAACTTTACACACAGCAAGCAGAAATCAACAGTTTTGGAACTGAGGCATCAAAAATCCAATCCACAAATTAGAACTAAGATTAAACTGGTCTTAAATCAGGATAAACATGCTTTTTTCGTCTAAAATGCCCACGAAATATATTTATAAGCAAAGTGGTATGTATTCTACTTGTATATCGCCTAAGCATTATTTTAGAGACTAAAAAGTAAGATTTGGGTTAGGATCCTGTTTGAGCCTGTTTCTAGGAATCCCAACTCCAGAGCAGCGGTTCTACATTACACTAAAAGTGAAGGATCGTGGTTCGCTCTTTGTGGCACTGAATATAAAGATTTAGGCAGTTTTCGCCTTGGTCCACACGTGCGAACGTGGGTGCACGACCTTGAGCCTCGTTTTGCTCTCGTTGGAAAGCGAATAATTCTGCACTTGCGTCTGATGCAAAATGTGGCACATATTCATTTGTTATCGGGTACCTTTGTAAAATTATCTGGGCACTTTGGCTAAGCTGCAGACATGAAGGTACATCACCACCTCTTCTCTTTTAGTGCACTTAGGAAGTATTGTTTGAAGACCCGTAGTCTTCAGTTATAATAACTGCATCTGCGCGCGAACACACGCACACACTACTGTCGATATCGGTGAGCGTCTCAAAAAATCGGTGAGTAGAGTTCGATATCCAGTCTAATTCATTGCATTCACTTTCGCACAAATACCCTTGGGATAGGTATGAATCTATCCTTACTTTTCCCCAGCTATGGCTTAAATAAGACTGACAAAGACCCATAGCTGTGGTCCGCAACCAGTCTAGGAGGACAACAAATTCTGAATTCAAAACCGGTTATGTAACTCTGGTGATTGATTGATTTGTTTGTTTTTTATGGCTTATCAACCTTTTGCAGGTTATTTAAAGCCACAAAATATTTTTAGATTGTAAGAATTATTTCGAGATGATAATGATTTACTGATACAAGTCCTATTAATTAACACATAGCTAGAGGGAGGAGAGGTGGATTCATACCTTTCCCAAGAGTATTTGCGCGTGAATATAACGAACCAGACTTCCGATTTTCAATTTCGAGCCGTTGTCCATTACATCATCTGCACACTCAAGCTTACAACATCTGGTATTACCAAGCGGTCACCCATCTAGGTATTGACCAGACTCGACGTTGCTTAATTCCGGTGATCGTACGAGAACCGGTGCTTCAATGTGATATGACCGTAAGGGCGGCTCAGAGTTGTGGACTCTATCATCTCAGCTGAACTCGGTTAAAAACACATACACACACAGTCATGTCAGAAAACAATCATTTACGCCCCTGTTATTATTGAATAAGCTTAGCCTAGTTTGGGCACATGGCCACAAATATCGGGCTCAGGATCGAACTCGCTGCTCCGTAGTAATGGTCAACCAGACGACTAGCCTCGTTAACCATTACCCCTCGTCGAGGCAACAAAATTTAAGAACCTGTTGCTTAATTTATAGATAAAATTCTGAAGGCCAGTAAAACGTTGGATACAGTTTTTTATAAGTTAGTATGTTAAGATAAATCATTTAAATATTTTATCTTAACGATGCTTGTCTCGCGTTCCGTTGTTAGCGAAATCAGTTCGATATTTACTGGGTGCCTAGTTTCACTCTTATGACCTTTGACGCACAAAGCTTAGTAGTAAAGTTACATATGTGTGTAAGGTAAGGTCGAGAAATATGAGGATAAATCTCACATTTTACTAATGTTCATCCAATACAAGACCCAAGAGCCACTCAAGATACTGTGTGGTGCTGTATTAGCAAAAGAAAGGACAAAAAGTTCTTGTGAGCTATACAGGGCGTAAGATAACAGCTAACTCTAGACTCGATGAAGTTAACATTTAATTAGTAAATGACATTTCATAGTTCAATCGGAGACATTAGAAATATAGTGTGGCAGTAGACTTTAGATAGAACCGGAAACCCAATCCTAAACAGGAAACAAGGGATAAACATTTACTCTAGTTCAAAAGACCGCGGAGGACTGTGAACTGGACAATAGGTGAAACTATCTATTGCATTTGTTATTGTAAATATACAATGTACATTAAATTATGGTTGCAACCAGAGTGGCTTGTGTAATTCCCATTGATGTGAATGATTTGTGACCAAATTCAGTTAAAAATCAAAACTTTGAATGCTTATTTTCATGGCGAGACGATTTTCTTCGTATGGTGATCTTCTAAGCGTAGCTTAGATATGGCACAAGGCCGAAAATATGGAGGACCTAGTCATAATTGTTCTAGCGAGACAAGCTTGTTAACCATTATACCACGTCGAGATGCCCTAGTTTTTTGTTTCGTATGGAAAAAGTTTAGTTTAACAGTACAATACTAAACTCTCCTAAAGTCTGTTTTTTTTTTTGTTTTGTTTCGTTTTTTTGTAAGCGCCATTTTATTCACACAATGTTTCATAAACAGTAATCTCAGACTGTAACAAGGCAAACTGAAATTTTTCCAGCAAAAGTTAATAATCTATTATCATAAGCTATTTTTATCTAGAAGTATGTTACTTTTACGATTCTCTGAATTCACTTATACGTTTGTCCATAGATTCGTCTTGATCGTTTAACAGCTAACCTAATTAGTACGTACATATTCAATAGCTGCTAGGACAAATCTAAAAAGAATATAGAAATACAGTTGATGTTAGCCAAAGAAAAAATGTTACTGCTATTAGCATTGTCTTGATGTAAAAAATGCAGAAAGATTTAGGTGGGAAGAGAAATATGTTCAAGTTCTGCTTCTTATGCTTGTATTTTTTTTTTTTCTTTTATTTTCGTTCAAAATGAAAAACATTCGAGAAAATAATCTGAGTGAAGAGGATGCGCTTTCCGTAAAAAAAAAAAAAAAAAAATAGAACCCTGCTTCCTGCGACGTTCCCTGTAGCCGAGTGGTAAAGTACGCTGGATCAAACAGTGGTTCCCTCTACAAAGAAGTACGCAGATTCGAACTCTGCCGGGGAACGCATTTTCTTTACTATTTTTTTTTTCGAATGCATACGCTAATAGACGTGATACAAACTGTTTAATTAATAAAAATAGGGCGTCTATTTCAAATACGAAATATCCACTATAATAACGTTTGAAGTAATAAAAACGTTAAAAAAATGTCGGACTAAAAATAAATTCATTACTTCTTTAGAAATTGCTTTCTTTACGTTTCGGATACGAAACTGGCTAGATATCATACTTTCGAAAAAATATCTGAGTGAAGAGGATGTACTTTCATTAAAAAGGGAAAATAGAACCTTGCAATGTCCGTGGCTGAATGGTAAGGCTCACTGGATCAAATAGGTATTTGCTCTACAAAGAGAGATGCAGATTTTCCAAAACGCATTTTCTTTCTTTCTTTCTTTCTTTTTTTTTTCCGAATGTGAAGGCCGATAGATATAACGCACACTTTTTAATAAATAAAAATGGGGCTTCTATGGTCAATCTTAGGATCTATGTAACCTTTGTCTAGAGGAGAAAAATATCAATAATCATTTTTCAGAACAATATAAATTCCTAAAGAAAAGATCAAAGCGCATTTCCAAATGCAGACCCGAAATCAAATTCCAGCAACGCTGCCTACAATTACATTACGACTAAAAAGGCTAAATAATATCCTATAACCTAAATCTAATAAACTTTATTTCAAATACCAAAATATAGAACCGAAGAAAATACATACAGAGAATAAATTGATTAAAACAAATAAAATAAGCGCAGTAAAGATCAGGACTATAAATAACCGAAAATGTTAGCACTTAACAAAAGAACTGGTATGTGCCAGTTTTCCCTTTCCCCACCATTTCACATAACTCCCCAGTGACCTATATAGAGAGCCCACGCATGGAATAGTGACACATGGTCTGAAAATCGCTTGAGGCGTGAAACTGATAATCGTTGACTTGAATATCCACACACACATACAAACACACTTTTTCTCTCTTTCTTTCTCTCTCTTACATATTTATTAGATTCTCCTGTCGATTTCGACGTATGAGGACCAAACAATTCAGTTTATAAGTGAAATGCTAGACTTCTACACACATAGATGATTTGGTTAAAATGGTGAAGATTTGTGTTGATATTTCGGTACAACTGATAACAAAAATGGTACACAGCCCTCGTCGGGTTTGAATTCAGAGATGTCCTTCTCGTACACTGGTTATCGCTCAAGTCTTCCCTGCTAATCCATATCTGGATTCATGACTTTTCGCTATTCAAACGAAATACAATCGACCGGAAGTTGAACTCGACTCGATGTTTTTGCTTTCCGCACCGACAATCGTTTCGCTATCTACATATCCGTGTGTGTGTGTGTGTGTGTGTGTGTGTGTGTGTGTGTGTGTGTGTGGGTGATTACGTAATGAAAACGTGCGTTGCTTGCTGTCCTAACAAAAAATAGATGTACTTCGAATTGTTTAACGTTTTCAATAATGACTACATTTTTAAACTTCAGACTCGATGTTGATTCTTTAAAAATACTTAGTAAGGAAAACCAGGAAAATATTTTAAAAATGCTCTTTTGTTTTGAAGATTTGGCGGAAAAACCTAAAATGCTTGAAACGTTATATACCCTTGGCCTTAACCTATGTACTTTCATGTATGTGGCTCTGTGTGTGTGTGTGTGTGTGTGTGTGTGTGTGTGTGTGTGTGTGTGTGTGTGTGTGTGTGTCGGTATGTGATTAAGAACATAGTGAGATACATCATGAACCCGAAATTTATTTTCTTTTTATTTACTTCTCTCCGAGACACGTTATATAACGCACCCAAGAGTTTTGTATGCGATTTGATTCGACATCTTGCATTTGGTGATAAATGTTATTTCTTGACTAGTTAAAATTTGGGGTTAACACAGAAAATTACACTCACATCTACACAACGTGTGCTATTTTTAGGATTACTTTAAAAAAATTTTAATTTTGTAGTTTGCTGCTATTATACACTCACAATCACACATGTATTTCTATTTTTACCTTGAAATCTCCGTAAATGTTCTCTTAAAATTTTTCGAATTTATCAACAAGTCATGTTATCGACTAATTTTGCGTCATCTCAGATGTATTTTATTCTTAAAACTATGCAAGAAACGAAAAGAAAAACAGTTGGAATTTTATTTATTTATTTATTTATTTATTTTAGGCACATGTTATTTTTCAAACATTAGGAAACGATTTTCGGGATGCTAACTTTCATTTTTACACTTTCAGCATAGCAGTGTCTTATAGCTCTTTGCAAAAAAAAATCTTTTATTTTATTTTTATTTCTATTTTCCTTCTACTTTAACGTTTTTAGTTACTTCTGGACGCAGTACTTTGTTTGTTTTTGTTTTTAAATCTTTTACATTTCCTTGTACTTCTGATAGTTACTTAAGAAGAGTAAGACGTGTGTCCCATTCAGTTTTCACTGCGTGCTCATTACTGGGGTTTTATGCTAGACTAAAAGCACCTACCCTTTTTTATGAAATTTACAGTGTAGTTTTTAGAAGTATTTAGTAGAAAAACCTTTAAATGACGTTCATACGGTGAACGTGATTTATAGTAAACTAAAATAAAAATATCTCATATTCTCATAATAATAATAAAAAAAAAACTTATAAGAATTTTATTCCTTGGTTAAAAAAAATACATTCATTAATTCCAATCGAGCTTTCTTTTGAAAATATACGTCTAGAGATCTTTTACGCAAACAAAACGCCTCAAACTGCACAACCAGTTTTTAAATACTTTCTTAATTTCGAAGATAAATTAATTAAATTCTCATGAACGTATACAATTTTCGTGACATAAACTATCTCCGCCTATTCTTGTTTGTTTTTTTCTTTTTCTTTCTTTTTTTTTTTTCATGTGAAGCAAAATCCTCGTGTTTTGCTTGTGATAATGAAAAATGCCAACTCGTTCGCTATACTTTGCAAAAATTTTAAAAATATAAATAACAAACATTACGAAAAGAGGAAGTAATATTCGTTCACATGACTTTATCGATAAGCCTTAAACAAATTACATACTTCTTTCTTTATTTTTCTAATTTCTCTTTTCTCTCTCTCTCTCTCTCTCTCTCTCTCTTTTTCACACTTTTCTTTCTTTTTCTTTTCATTTCCCTCTATTTCGAATTCCGTACACACGCTGCAGAGAATTGAAATTCGTTTTATTTTGTTGATTCTATTAAAAAAAACAAAAACTTTCTTCTCTTTTCGTCAATGTCA